TACTTCATCTATTTTTTACAAAAGAGGGAAATACCTATCATGAAATATTTCCCCTGCTTCACTCATGAAATATTTCCGCTGCTTCACATCATCTGAACAAGACTAATTCCCCTCCCCCTCCCTTCCAAAGAAAGTCAATGTTGTAAAGTCATCAACCAATAAACAAACCTTTTCAATCGATAGAGAGGGTACGGACTCCTCCACTTTTGGGAGATCCTCCTCTCTCACCAATTTTGCCGTCTCCTCAACGGATCTCGAATCTCGAATAGAACAACTTCCAAGTAATGTAATAAAGCAATGTAAAATTCAAATCAAATCTATACAATGGTCCAAATAATGTGATGTGAAAATGTTCACCTTTAGCAACAACCGAGTCAGTCTTCAAACGCTGAAGTAGGGTTTCTAGAAGCAACGATCGGACGTCACCAAGAGCGTTCTCCATTCTTGGATCTTCCAGCACCTCTCGTACGCTTTGCGCAGAGGGCAATTCTTTTGAGACAATCAGCCTGGAATTGGATCTCTTTTCTGTACAGTATCTCGAGTCGTATTTCTTTGTAATTTCCTAAGGATTATAAATTTTGAAGGGGGTGTTAGTTTGGCCTGGTGGGGGCACCAAATAGTTTTGAGCGAAGTCTGTGTAGATGATCTTGTAAAGACATGCAGATTCCTGTAACCAAAGTGTTTCGCTTGTGACGTTTCTCATAGGACTTTCGATAAAAGGAACTAGTTATCGTGCAAAATGCCCCTCTCAAGCCGAACAGCGCCAGCTTAGGTTGTTGACGCGATCTACCGTAACCCTCATGCATCTGGTGTTTCTCGAACTTTTAATTACCTATGTTTACCGCCTCTGGCTCACCCTGATCGACGCAGTCATGGCCCAGTCACCTGAGTGAGGCTTAGCAGTAAAAACGGAACAATAGTCTCTCTTTCTTACAGCCCGGGTCATGGTGGCAATTGTGTTCAGTGTTATGTGCTCTCACGGAAACAAGGCACTTGAATTCACGAATGATAGCTTTATGGTATCAACAATCAAGAACGAAAACTTGCAGACTTGCGCGAGCTAATGATCAACTGCACAGTCAGGGCTTCCAGCTGATTCTGTGAGATGCTGAAAAACGCCCAGCCTTCACGAGATAAATGATCTTTGTCCCCATCGAGTCACTAGCATCAACCATTTACAATCATCGAAGCTGGGGCTATTGAAGTGACAGCGCTCTTTCACACAGCTCTTATGACCTCCGCTCTTTCATACAACACTCATGACCTTAGTCATTTCTAACTTCGGTTCCTTTAACACATTCCGGACCGCGTGACACACATGGTGTGTCATACACTTGTCCCTATGTGGCGTTCTGTTGATTATTTCTGACTTTTCTTTCATGTTCTATTGTTGCGAAAACACGTTTTCTGTTATCAACATATCCTTCCTCATAAGCGATTGAAAAGAGGGAGGGAATTACTGATCAATTATTGATGAAAAATGATGAAATGATCGGGTCGTAATTCAACACATTGCGGACCGCACTACTGCGGTCCGCAATGTGTTAAAAAACCTCAAATTTTTCTCTAGATCCATTTACTCTGAACTGTTCCCACATCATTTCTCACATTCAGCATGGAC